GTTTTTGTGCAATATATGCCAGGGACCTGTGCAATACATTTATATTTATTTATAGTCATATTGTGCAATACGACTTTTTTGTGTACTTTTCTGTTCTGGTTTGTTCCTTGTGTGTTCTGGACTGTGAGTAACTCTTCTTAGTGCACTTCTCACTGTACTGATTGTATTGTATTATTATTATTGTATCATTCGTTACACTGTGTCTGTGTTGTCTGTGTTAAGCTGCTGTTGCACTGCAATTTCGCTCACGGAATCAATAAAGTATCTATCTATTTGTTATGTATTGTAGTAACATAGGTAACATTTAGACACAATTCTTTGGCTGAATTATAAGTTTCATTTTCATCTGTTATTATTTCAGTCTTTAATGCTTTTTTATTGTTGTCATTTTTGTTGTTCGTCTTTGTTTGTGTTGTCAGAAATTCAAATCAGGCTTCATATCTCAGGCTATGGATCCCACAGGTTTCACAGAAACATTGTTTGATCTTTGAAACAGAAGATTCTTACTAAAGTAGAGGGATGCCTGTTTTATTTCTTTTAGTCTGTTTAGATTTAACTCAGATTCACTTTGTAGCTTTCGTAGTCTCCCAAACAGCAAAACGGAACCTCAACAGAATACACTTATTTAAAAAAAAAACTGAATTACATAAGCAGTGTCTCCAAAGCACTTCATGCATGAATAGATACAAGATGAAAAAGCTATCTTGCCCATCCTTGCCTTTTTAATGCACTTGCTCAAAAACACCTGAGACACCGAGAGCTACATCACACCAGTATTCCTGTATCTATAGTCCATCAGATCAGAACAAATTTTAAGATATGAAAATTGCCAAATTAGCAAAGCATTACTTTTCAATATAAAAATAGCAACACTTCTAACAATAATAATTGATTGCATTTGTGTAACACTTTTCATCACCAAGAATCCTGAAGGGCTTCACATATGGGAGAGGACAAACTCCATCCTCCTCTGAAGTGCTGCACCCACCTGATGGCAGCCATTCTGAGCCTGCAGCCTCGTTGTGCTGAAAAACTAGTTCAACAGTTGAATTTAGGGGCATACAGTAAAGAAGCACAATGCTGAAAAAGGAGAAGCACTTAATAAAAGAAGATAAATTGTGGAACATGAGAAGTTTGAATGACGATAAAGACAGGGTTATGAAGCTCTTCTTAAAATGATAGGAGTCACACTTACATAAAAAACGTTTGATTTTTTTAAAGAATATAAAGCCCTAGTGTTTTCTGTGGATTATCACTCAAGCTTGATTGTTTTGATAAAGCAGCAAGCAATGTGCAATAATTCATATGCCTGTGATGCAACTGTTAAATATAATGATCAAAATGATGGTTGTAATATTAATATGTACGTGACTTCTGTTAGTTCATTTAGAAGCTGTTGCATCAGTTCTTTTGCTACACAAGTGAGACGGAGCTGCAGAATTGCTATTCAATCCTTGCAAATCCATCCCTGCAAATGGGGGATTTTGATGAAAACCTTTATCGTTTTTTATTGCTGATTGGGTTACATTGTATTATTTGTGTGTCCGTTTCATGTTCATTAATTGAAGATGTACGTTAAGTTTGCCATTTGTTTTTAATGCTGCCCCCATAGACCCTCACTCCCAGAGGAACATTTGTCTGGACAGGAATGATGTTTGCTCATTTTGATTCAAGACTCAGTGGGAAGCCTCTAAATTACGTTTTTCCCTGTGATTTTATTTCTGCCTCATACAGAGTTGGCCCCATTATACATGAATGGCAGCACGGCCTGCTTTAGAAAATACTTTGTGGTAGATGGAGTCCACGACACCTGTTAGTGTTAAATTGTTAAGAGAATTAAGTACAAAATAACATGAAGCTGTCAGCTTGCAGTTAACATTCCTTTATTGACAACACAGCTAATTCTGAGGAAGGTGCAAGAAGATAAATAGTTTTTTTGTCCCTTAAGAGCATTGATGTGGGGGAGTCATTTTTATTTTACGAATAAAGCAGGATCTTGATGTGATTTTGCTAATCTCATTCACATTACATCCTTGAAGACAGTTTCTGTGTATTGTACTCTTCCAGTACTGGTTTAGTCACTGGTGAAATTGCAATTGTTTGTTTTTTTTTCTTGTAATTTGAATTATTTTTTTATTCTAAATTTTATGATGTGAAGTCATCTAAAACTATAATTCAACTTTAATTGAGCAGTCTCTGAGTGAATGTCGTCCCTTTTTGTCCACATGCTATTAGGGGGTTAACATTTAGCTTCATGTTTGTGCGTCAAAAGTAGAACAGTAGCACAGTTTTCACTTTCCATCATTGCACTTGTTTTGTAAAATCTTGGTTTTGAAGCCTGTGTAAACATGTCAGTCTGTCATTGACTTTTTACTTGATGCATTTTCCTCAATTGGGGCTTCACACAATCATATTGAACTGATCCTAGGTGACTATAACTGAAAAATGAAAATGCAAAATAAATGATAATGTATTGTAGCTAAATCATAACTGAATGTATCTGAATTTCTTATCAAAAATAAGTGTTCATTCTAGGACGATAGATTGTGTTTATATAGCCCCAAAAGGCACCAACTGTAAACTCTCACTCTCATCTTATTCTATGTAATCATCAGCTAAAGGAGATATTAAAAATTTAAACATCCACAAAATTTTTAAAGGAAACTGCTGGCATTGCTGAATCTCTTCTCCAGCGTTGCTAAGACCGGCTATTTGAGAAATAGTAAGAAGCATATATAAATATATACAACATCAGTGCAGATTCCCAGCCAATCTGAGGGTTCAAGCTGCAAAATATCTATATATAGATGTTTACACAAAGGGATCCGTATAGCACTAGCACTGTTGAAATAACTGTTAGGCATCTGACATTTGTAACAGTGGCTTGTCACGTTTACACAGGTTAGTGTGGCATGAAAGGTGTCTGTGCCTAATTCTTTCTTTTTCCCTTGATTTGATGTCTCACAGGTGACTTTGGGGAAAGTGCTAAAAGCCATAGTCGTAATGCGGAGCCTGTTTATCGATCGGACGATTGTGAGGGCATTCAACGAGAATGTGTACTCTGAAGATGGCAAGGTAGAGTTTCACAGTGTGGGGACAGCACAGCAGTGCTGGAGAGGAAATATCTACTCAAAGCCAAATTTAGGGTATTTATAAAGTTACTTGGCCTTTTCAATCAGTCCCATCATGGTAACAGAAGAGCAATGAAATTAGGTATTTGTACAAGTTTAGCTATAACTTTGGCTCACAGGTACTTTAACTGTATATAGTGGACACTGGACAGCTTCCTGCTTCCTGCTGTATTGTGTTGTCTCTCAATCAAAACATTCAAGTATGTTTTCAAAGAACCTGAATCAATTGTCTGAATAGGCCATCTAACTTTATAAATGCTTTGTGTGCATGTATATACACATTTGCATCTTTGTGAAGATCAAAATAAGGGCAGGCATGTTTTTCATGACTTTTCTCATTCAATCAATTTCTTGTTAGAGTTATTTGAACAAAGATTAATGCATGGAAACACTAGAGAACCCTAATCACAATTAATTATATGTGGAATATCCAAACTTCCTACCTGTATAAGGTATCGGATGTCCAGTTTCAAAAGTGCTTTTTTTAATTGGGCTAATAGAACTACAACTACTGTATGCATGTTAGCGCTACAACTAAACATTTGCCATTAAAACTTAACTGAAGGTGTTAATTGATGATAATGTTGAATCTAGATTTCATGACCTTTTAATTTATTTTTGAAAAAAAAACAGAAATGTAGTAGAAAGCAGACTCCCTAAAGCAGGTGTTTATTTTTTACACAACTCTGTAGATTTCCATTTTTTCATTTACAGACATCTTGCTGTTCAGAAGAACTTCTGATTAAAATCAACAGAAACACAAAATACAAATAATATGTTTGAGCAGTGCAGAATTTTATGACAAATATATGAGCTTGTGCATGTGATTAGTGATGGTGGGAGAATTCAACTCACCACGCAAGACCTTGACAATATTCCTGTAATCTGGGCCACTCAGAAAACCAGTGGTTCTCTCTTGGCTCAAAACTGTTTTCACAATGCATACAGTAGGACAGAAAAAAACATAACAGTATTTTAATAAAAACAATATAAGTAGGTAGGTGCTAAACATTTTGGGCAACTTAAATGTTTTGTGTATTTTACAGAAACAGGGGGGTATTTAAATCAACCTTTCTTTCAGGCTGAGCTGGGCTGATTGCCTTGAATACACCAACAATTCAAAGGACCACTGTACATTAAGAATATCTTCCCCACACTATTTGTCAGCACTTTAAAAAGATTACTTTGTATTCTTGGAATCTCCCAAGATACTTAGTCAGAGGTCTGGGCGGGAAAAAACAAATTGCCAGTCAGCCTCCACCAGGAGGCAGAGAGGCAGACAGAAAACAAAGAGGCGGCCGCAGAGAAAGACCGCTACAGAGTAGGTTCGAAAAATAGATACTGATAAAGAGAAGAGAGCCTGAGATAAATGGAGAGGTTAATATGTAGAGAGAGAAGGATTAAAAATGAAATTTGTGCCCCCTCACGTGATTATATCAGAGGAGGCAGATGACTACTGAGACTGAGAGGAGTCTTGTGCATGCAGCTGATTGCTGAATGGAGCGGTACCTCAGAGGTACTGAGCCCCCACATGGTAGTTTGGATTCCCCCCCACCCCACCCCCAATCCCCCCATATCTCATCTTCCATGAATTAACCACAACTACAGAGACAACTCAGGGGTCCAACTGCATTCTCCCTTGGCTGGGCTCTTGGGTCATGTTTATGCGATTTCTCCACTAATTACCATGTGCCAAGAGAGCAGACATGGCTTCTTTAGCCTGCTAGCGTAAGAGAGAGAGGGGAGAAAAAAAGCACTATCAAAGGAAGGCTTCAAAGACTATCAGAAGCGTCTCTTGGGTAATTTGCGAGCCCGCATTCTTCCAACTTCAAAGCCCGACTGCGTGTCGGAGAGGTGGGGGCAGCGGGGGATCGAATCTGATTTCTCTAATAAATGCTGACACCAGCCCTGTTTGATATTAGATTCAGGGAACATTTTGATTTGTTATCGCCTTTGAAATTGTTCGGACGACCTTCACAAAACTGCCTTATTACCACTCCCGTTATGCGAAAGCACTGAGGAGGAATGGGGAGAAAAGCTTCGACATTCTAAAATAAAAAAATGGCGGAAAAGGAAGAGAAGGACTCGCCAGTTTAATCTGAAGGAGAAGGACGTTCCCCGATACTGTGCTTTCAGCAGTTTTTTTTTTCTGTGGTGTTACAGATTTGTTACGTGATTGAAAGTGAAAAGTTAAAGAGCAATACAACAGAAGCAAGCAGGTGCATTATTTATTGTATAGGGACTTTGTTTTCTAGAAATATAAATTACCCCCCTCTCCCCTGTTCACTGTACTTCTGGTCTCCCCTAGATTGGATTGATTGATTAATTGACTGACATGATTATTAGTGCCAATTTGAGAGCTTTTTTCTTTACTTCAGCAGACCACCCTTACCTGGGACTACTTGAGTGCTGCTTTGTAAAATAATAAGCCTTAGTGTACTTTTTAATTTCCTAGTCCTGCTGCACAGACAACACCTGTTTTGTGCGTAGACATATCTTTGAACATATTTCTGTGACTTGACAGTAGCTTTTATTTGCAGGTTTTTAGATAATGGCTTTAAAGCATATTGATTGATCTTGTGACACCAAATCTGAGACGAGAAGAGTGTTGTAGACGTGAAAATCAACATGCACCAATACCTGTTTGAAACTATTACCCTGCGGCCCATGTGGGTCCTAATGCCCCAGTATAGTGAATTGGACACTATACTGTAAAAAGGCGCCGTCCTTCGGATGAGACGTAAAACCGAGGTCCCGACTCCCTGTGGTCATTAAAACACTAATAGCTGATGTGTGGTGAGCGTCCTGGCACACTATGGCTGCCATCGCATTATCCAGGTAGGGGCTACACATTGGTGGTGGGACAGGGGAGTCCCCATTAACTGTAAAGCGCTTCGAGTGGAGTGTCCAGAAAAGCATTATATAAGTGTAAGGAATTATTATTATTGTTATTATTATTATTACTCTCAGTTTAAAGTCAGAAGTCTACCCCCTTTTACATTTTAGGTCTTCAAACAGTGTCTTCACAGTCTAACTAAACCTTACACCATTTGTGCTTTATTAAACTGTACTTTATATGACTCTTAACAGTGGACCTATGTAGATATAAAATGGAGAAATCTGTTGGGATTTTAAAATGCTGGATATTTAAAAACTATTACAAAAAAACGTACTTAATAGAAAGTTGCTAAATGTTAAGTGATTTAAGTCACTTAAGTACGTTGGTTTCATATGTGTTGGAACTTTAATCCCTTTCACGGCTTTTATATGAAATATTAATTGAAATAAACATGTTCTAGAAAGAGACAACTGTATAGTATGTCCTTGTACTGAAGACCTCCATTGCCTCAGGCTGCTTTCCCACACTCCTGCCAAATCCTCTCATAGTCCAGCTGTGCCTGGTTTCTCTCTGACAGGGGTCTTCTCTGGCAGTGATCCTCAGACTCCAGGGCAGAGTTTTTTTGTAACTTTACTGGCCGGCCACCCCCACATCTGGAAACCGGCCATCTTGCTACAGCAGAGTATTGAGGCTAGACTGGCTGCAGTGAACAACATGTTTAACAGACTGCACATGAAAGCAAACAAGCCATCAGATACATAGCAATTTAGTCCTGAATTAAAATGGAAGGTTAAAATGTCTTCATAATGTTAAGCACATTGATACAAGCACACCATTTTTCAATTGAGGGACAAAATGTAATTGTCTTTACTTTGTGTGGATCACACAAGTTAAATAGCCATCAATAATGACCATTTATTTGCCTTACTTGAACAGTGTATTTTGTGAAATGTGTAAGAATACTAAGTATTAACTACAGTATGCATTCTGTTTCAGCTGGACATTTGGTCAAAGTCCAATTACCAGGTATTTCAAAAGGTAAGAACTCCTATTTACATTATCAGCTCTTATATGCTGAAATCTAAACTACCTAAAGTTATTCTCAGGTAAATTCATCTTTAAGGTTTTCAGTTCAACCAGAGGAGGGCTTTACCCAGGAGGACAGGGAGTTATAAAGTCCAGATGTTCAAATGTGGGCATACTTTAGGAGAGGTGACCTAATTACTCAATGTGTGGCTCTTAAGAGGTTGGATATGTTTGAAGCCGGCTTTAATGTTCTGCTGTGTCATTCTTTGCACCTTACCAGGTACACATGAATATTATCAGCTGGAGCTTCATCGGTTCTCTATTTAATGCCTTTGCTTTTGCTGTTGGCACTGTGGACTTGCATCTAGAACAAGTCATTTGTCTGGCAAAATGTGCCTCCCCAGCAGACACATGGAAACATCTTATAACATACCATCATGCAGAGCCCTTTCTCATTTGAGACATTGCGAGCTCCACAGTGCCTGACAGGAAAGAAAATGCAGGCAGGGGAAGAGTCAGCAAGCCTGCAGCACCCAGTTCATTTCAAGAGTCACTGTTGGGTTCGAGAGCTAAGAATTGGAAAGTCCTACCCTACCAGTCAGGGTCTTCTACTTGGGGGATCTTGGTCCCACTAGTGATGGCTGGGCCATCATCTTTACTGGTGGAGTCACCTGGGAGTCCAGGATGTTTTGTTTGTGTTGTCTGTTCCCCTGTGGTTTTGGTGTGATCCCTGCAGTGGTCAGCTAAGATGTTAAATTGTTTTCAATTCCAAACTGAGAAAACGGAAACAAAAACTGCTTATTTTTATTACCATGTTACGCAAAGGAAGAATGTGAAATTACTTGATATTTTTGAATCGGCTGTTTGGCCTTCTGAAGACAGTTGCTCACATGAAAAGTGGTGTTGTCCTCCAACAGTCCTCCCCAAGCTGACAGAGATTTCCGAGACCCTTATCCTTTAGGAAATGTCTGTCCTTCTCTTTCCCCTCTGTATTGTCACATATGTAGCTCAGAGTTTGTCAGATCCCTTCCCATCTTTCTTCCCCTAGAAGTCGGCGGGGTTTTTCATTTGCTTCGTCTATTTTAAAGCATATCTCCTGCCTTTTGTTCCACAAACATTACAAGATTCCGACTGAGCTGTGCACCTTTTATCTTCTCCCCCGAATCTCATTAGAATGGAATTACTGCCGAAGTAGCATATGTGCCGCCAGAATTATATAGCAAGCCAGTTTGGGTTTGCCTTTAAAAGAAATTGCTTTTCAAGTGACTTTACACATCTGCGGCACTGGATCAAAGGATGTCTTATTTATTTATTTTACACACAAAAAAAAGATTTCCTGGTAAAAGGAGGTTGTGTGGAAGCCATTCTCCAGCAAAACACCAAAGTCAGCCACTCCAGTCTTCTGTATCACTCTGTTGCTCTGAACTGTCTCCCATCAGTTCAGCGCTCCGGTTCCACAGTTACTTTTGATGTATAAATTACTGATTTATATTCTGGGTATGTGACATGAATTCCTCATTGTAGCATTTTGTTCTTGCATTTTTTTAAGACTTGTCTTCTCCACTAATAATAATATTAAGAATAATTATTGCATGCATCCATGTAGTAGGTAGTCCTACTTGCATGATTACATTGCCTTATTTAACATGGATATGTTAATTCAAAGACAGAAATTAAGTATTTGAAAGTCTAGGTTGTTTAAGTTTGGAGATCCTAGTGCACTGCAAAATTAGAAATCAGTGTATGGCTTGTACAATAAATAGATCTAAAATCCAATAGACTTCAGAGCTGCCAGGCACTACCCAAGTGACTTCTGCACTTCAGTTGTGAATAAAATGGGTCCCCTTCTATTTGTAAAGTAAATTGAGATGAAAAGCGCTATATAAAATGCAAGATATTATTATCATTAATTAAATGCTGTTTGTAAGTTGTGTGATATATATTTAGTCATTTCTTTATTACTTCATCACTTGTTGGAAAGGGAGTAGGGAAGTCTCATTTTAAAAAAGAATGGCAGAAATAAACTCGGAATAGTTTATCATTGTTTTAAAGATAGTGGGTGGTGACTCTGACGGGACGTGGGGTGTTTTCTGCGGTTTCTCAAAGGTGACGGATCACGCCACGACTGCCCTGCTGCACTACCAGCTCCCTCAGATGCCCGATGTGGTGGTGAGGTCCTTCATGGTGAGTCCACTGCAATACGCTCCAGCGTGCCTCAAGTGGGCACCGATATAGGCACGTTCATTTGAATTAGGTTTTTACGTCCAGAATTTTACGGGTCCTTTATGATCATTACCATTACCTGTTGTTCTTAAGTTTGGACCCTACTGTTGAACCACTCCTCCGGAGTGCAGTAAGTGAGAACACATAAGCTAAATAGGCATTTTGGAACAACAGTGGTCTCGCTTTAAGATGTGGAAATTAAAGAAAGATATTTGTCTTACTTGCTTATTAGTACCCCTCATTTTCTTATTAAATGTCTTATTGATTTAATTGCGGCTTCAAAACACCAGGTCTGCCTATGTCTTGGGCTGGGGTGAAAAAAGTATACCACATTCTGGCAGGTGTAATACAGTACTCCACACCTTACGGTTTAAGTCCACACCTTAATCCGTAATGTAGAAGCAAGCATAATGTTTTTAGGATACTTCATTTCAATCCTTTGTCCAATCTTGTAGTCTTGTGCGTCTTCTTTTAATAAGTTGGAGTGATTCTGTGAAAAAACTAATATATTTAAACTATTTCCACAAAATATTACTGTTTTTATAACATCTTAAAGATCCCATGAAGTTTATGAGATTTAAAGCAGCATATAGATACATAAACCAAGACCTGATTCTAGCCCTAATTAGTCATGGGTAGACAATAAAAACACAACATGTCTAGATCTAGAAGACGAAACTGTTTGGTTCTATTTTAGTTTATTTAAAGTGTATTTCATAAGAAAGTCAACTGAAGCATTAAGAAATAACCCATGTCAATTTCACCCAAAGACCCACACAGCATGCCAAACCCATTAGAATAGTTTTATTTTAACTGTTAACCTTGCACCCAGTAAAAACGTTATGTGAACTAACAGTCTGTAAATTGATTTTAATATGGCATCTGCCACTAGCTTTCAAAAACAACTGGACAATGTTAGGCAACATAGCATGTAAAAGAAAATTTACTGTGAAAGAGACATTATGGCTTTAATATACACACTTTAATTGGTCTTTTTCTTTTGTTCACATTGTAACTATAGTGAAGTAAATAAGAGTACATTCATTAAATGTGCCTACCATAAGAACACACATTTTTTACATGCCTTCAGACAGAATCTGTCACGAGATGTTATCTTCTTAACTATAATCTTTGCATTAGAAACCAGCTGTTTAATCATTGCCCACATTGCCATAGTGTTCAGGTTCCAGATGTTTTTAGCAAATCATCTCGGCTTGCTAGTGCTCTGTGGTTTACTTTTGCTCATATCTCAGAGCATATTATTTCTGTGCAGGTTTATTTTTTTAGAACATCTATATTATGCTTTTAAGGCCCCAGTAGTGTTTTCTGTGAGTTCATCTTTTAATAGCCTCTTTTTTTCAGCACTGCTTTTGGTGCAGAAGGAATTGAGATTGATTAGCCTGTTTTTTTAAGATCAATGAAAAGCTGTTCTGATCATGCCCAAATGTGTAGGCGCAGTCTGGATTTGTAAAATAATGGATAAAAATGGTTTTGTTTCCAGATTTGATGCAAACTTCAATATGTTTTTCATAAATCCTATCTTTCTTGTGCACAAACAAAATAGTGTTTGCTCTTTAAATGCGTAATTAGCAAAGTTTACTTCTAGGCACAGAGCAGGATCACTCAGTATATTTAAAATATATTTTAATTTTCTCGGTAATGTTAGGGGTAGCAAATAGTACTACATGCAGTATAACCAAGCTACTGAAATATTACATTAGTACGTACTGGGGTCTAAAAAGCATAATATAGATGTTCTAAAAAAATAAACCTGCACAGAAATAATGTGCTCTGAGATATGAGCAAAAGTAAACCACAGAGCACTAGCAAGCCGAGATGATTTGCTAAAAACATCTGGAACCAACTGCTTTAAGATCACTTTATTGGCCATTAAATTGTCTCGTATTAGGAATTCGTCTTTTCGCATACCCCAACTTGCTCTCCATGAGACACACTGACGGGGAGAAGCTTGGGGTCAGAGCGCAGGGTCAGACATTTTATATGGCGCCCCTGGAACAGTTGGGGTTAAGGGCCTTGCTCAGGGGCCCGACGGAGTGTAATTGATTTTGCTGCCTGTTGTCTTTAGGTTTGTAGATTCTGTGTTAATGCGTTTTAAATCGCTATTAGTTTAGATAAATAAGATCACTTTATTGGCCATATACAGTTTTGTTGTATTAGGAATTTGTCTTTTTTCACATACCCCAGCTTGCTCTCCATGAGAGACACAGACAGGGAGAGAAGCTTGGGGTCAGAGCGCAGGGTCAGACATTTTATATGGCGCCCCTGGAACAGTTGGGGTTAAGGGCCTTGCTCAGGGGCCCGACGGAGTAGGATTCCTCTGCCGGCTGCGGGATACGAACCGGCAACCTTCCAGCCACAGGCACTGATCCTCACCCACAGAGCCACCGTACAGTAAATCTGTTGGCACTATTAATATTCTCTCAATGTATTACAGGGTTTAAATTATTTCTAAATGAAGTTTGCTCATTTTTGCATTTGTTTACCCGGGAAGACTCTACTATAAGTTGGTATAATGAAACAAAAGGTGAGTTTATCTACCAGCAGATTCAGTATTTGAATGCACAAGCCTTCATCTCAGATTGCATCTTTATGCTTAGGAGACCAATGAAATGTAAAATGAAATAAACTTGCATCCAAACGGATTGTAAGCTATTAAATCCATCCAGCAGAAAATGCATTTTGACAAGTGTGAGCAGTCCCAAGCTGTGTACTGCGGAAGCGTTAGATATCGTGTGAAGACACGAGGACAAGCAGCTTAAATATACAAGCCTACCCGATCGATTCCTCAAAGACCGCTGAGAACTTCTAACAGAGAGAAGCTGAGCTTTAACCAGAAGTGTCAATATAATAATCCCTCCATTGGTAAAATATATGCTTTCACTGACAGGCTGTTACCTGAGATGCAGTTTTTTCCTGCTGAAACCGGGAGATTTGTGGCCAGGGTTATATCGGCTCTTCTAGTTATGGGAAATGTACTACAGGGTGAGACCTCTCACAGATTGACTGCACAGGAAAAGAAAAACTGTTCATGTTCTGTTGCAAGCCAAGAAACCCTAACTTGCTTTGTCGTTTCTGCACACTACACATGACTCATATTTTAGAATGGTCTCTGGTTTCAGGCATTATCATAGTTTTCTGTTCTGAAAGCAACCTTTTAGGTAAGTCTCCGCAAACACACATGTTGTGTAAAAGGTGCAAGTAGTTAATTGAACCGATTCAATTTGATGGACTTCAGGGCATGTCAGAAAGTGCAGACTGCAGTAAGTCCGATACGGGTACTTATGAGGTACTGTATTTTCAGATTGGCTTGATATTTCTTTAGGTACAGTAGGTAAAAAAACGAACTTGTTAAAGCTTTTTTATGCCGTTTAGAGCTTAGAGGAAAATTTTAAAACAGTTGATGTCTTTCTCATTAACAATAGCCTCCATTCTTTTTGTATTCCACAAACCCTCAGGATACTTGTCCTTTTGCTACTATTGTCTCCGATTACTGCTGATTTTTGCTATTTTTGGCTTCTTAAAGATCCAGTTATTTTTGCAGGATGTAAAAGGAACCTGAGAAGTTCTGGATAATGGAATGCCTCAGGCTAGATTTGTCAGTGATTGTTCAATCCTGTTTATCTTTACGTTTTTGTTTTGTGATAATAACCTTGTGCTTTTCCTAAATTATAATGTCTCTGGGTCATACAATAGATCAGAGATTTAATTGCAGTCTTTCTGGTATTCAGGATTGGTTTTCATTTTGTTTTATTACTGAAAAGAAAAAAGAAAGGTTAGAGTGAAAGAAAAGGTGCACTCACTTCAAATCATAATGTCTTGAGCCAAAGTTGAAAACTTCAGCACCCACTATGGTTTCCATTATGTTACTGAAATGGCAGATGAAGGTTGTTTTTATTTGCACAGCTACTGCATAATAGAGGTCGCTCTCCCCAGCAGGTCGCTTCAGAGCAAACAGCAGAGTCTGGGATGTTGCCCTGCATAAAATTTTCCACACTGGCTTGGTCTTATGGCCCTGTACTTAGAAAATAGAAATGGTGATTGCATTACTAGTTTGGGAGTGTAGCTTGTAATAAAAGCTAATGTTCAAAGTGAATCTCCCAGAAAACAGGTTTGGAGTTTTGGTTTGCAGGGAGTTGAGATGGTAAATCATTTAAAATTTTATATTTCTTTAAAAGCAATATTGTATTGAGAGTCAGCTTTATTCATCAACTTAAAATGCAAATTCATTTTTTTTAGAATACAATTTTTGTTTTTTATTTTTATTTTGTTCTTTACACCTCAAGGGCTTTACGTCTAATCTAGTCAATGTTCAGTCTAGTCTAGCTAATGTTGTACTGTCATATATTATACTGCATTATACTTTCTTATCTGTTAAGCCCTGCGTCTGTAAGTATTGGGTTTAATGGGTGATTTCTGCTTGCTCTTTTTCCCAGACCTGGTTGAGAAGTTACATCAAGTTGTTCCAGACTCCATGCCAGCGCTGTGGAAAGTTTCTTCAAGATGGGCTGCCACCAACCTGGAGGGATTTCCGCACACTGGAAGCCTTCCATGACACCTGCCGCCAGTGACAGAGGAATAGCAGAAAAGGGACTGGAGATCAATGGTGTTCTCCTAACTCCTCCTCCAGATTGGCTTGAAAGTGTCAGTAAACTTTAAGAGAGTTCTGGGAGATCTAGATAAAATCTATATTAGGTTTTATAGACCAGCTGATTCCTACAGTATATGGGCATAATCCCATATCCTTTTGACAATTTTTATGTTTTTGCGAAATGCCCACATACCCAGAGTGGCCTCAGGAAGCACCACTTTTAACTCTGGATTGAGACTGGCAAGATGTACTGTAATCAGATCTTTTCTCTACCAACTGGTGACTTTGTTCTGTTTCTCATAACCTCCACATTTTTGGGAAACTGCTGAAAAAATGTGCAGTATTAACTCAAGGTTTCACAGACCCTAAAAGAAGACGGGGCTACCTCAACGAAATACTTTTGGTCAAGCTCATAGAAACCAGCTGTGAACCTGTGTCTGAGGAGCAAGCATTGAAATACACACTATATTACAAGTGTGTGCTGCGCAGAAAATGAAAACATTATGCTCCGTGTCAAGTCATCACTTTATTCTTTTACACGCTTTCTAAGATTTGTGCCTGCATTCAGTATGTCACGTTTACCATTTCTGCAAATGCGGCTTTATAGTCACCTTTCACGGTGCAGTCAGTTCAATAATGGTTCAGGGGAGGGGAAGTGTGTTTAGTGTAGTTTGTTGTTCAGTTCCATTAGCATGGGAAAATGCTTTAATCTTTCATGATCAACCCAGAGAACCCATAAGAATGTAGTTTTTTTTGTAACGTGAGTTAAAAGCATTGCTATAAATAAACCTGCTTAGAATTGGACTTCAGCTGCATGTGCGCTGAGGAGTTCTATTTTTTTAAACTAGTCTGAGTTCTGAAATATGTCGAATTGTTAAAAAATATTGCCCAAATAAAAAAGTGATAAAAGGGCATCTGTACAGATAAAGATTATAGAATTCCCCATAATTGTGCCAACAGCAGCAGTTTCTGCAGATCATCTGTCACTGGACTCAGTTTAATTGATCTAAAAATGTTGCCAGTCTTAGAGAATGTTATATGTCTTGTTGATTGCTTCCATCTTTTTAGACGGTCAGTGGTTATTAAATTTCAACTGGACGTAAGTCATAATAGTAGTGATGTGCATGGCAGGACAAGGCAAGCTGAAGGGGGGTTTTCACTAAATATCTCATGAGATCTTTAAAAATGTTTTTCCATCTTTACATTAAAATGATCTCTCTCAGTACTTTTTTTTCCTCTTTGATCATTTCAGAAGTTAAAATAGAAGTGAAGCTCTGAGATCAGCCCACATTTGTTCAGTAAGAGTAGGTCTTCATGTTGTCTTTCTACAGTAGCCTGTTTTTTTCACAAAATAGACCAAATTTCCTTCAGTTGTCACAAAGAAAGGTTTGCCTCTTGCAGAAAAGTATTTATGACCTGGCTTAAACGTATTGTAAACTAAAATATCATTGATTTGCCTTATTCCCAATCTCCTATATTTATCTTCTGTAATCATGTGCCACATACCCATGGCACCTGAAGAGCACGCTCTTATTTAGTATAGAGGTTTTGTCATTTGTTCTTCATCACAATCTGATACTTGTAGACTGAATTACAAAAGCTGCACCTAGTTATAAACTACTCCCAGTATTTTTATGAACGTAGCTTATTTCATGTCTGCATCGATTAAAGCTGTGAAAACACCAATTCTCTGCCTTTAACCGAAATAAAATGCAGTCAAGAAAAAAAATGCAGGGGTGACATCTTCAAGAATATAACAGTGCCCTAAATTGTGGGATATAAATTCTTATTCAATATGAGTACTAAATCTGGTGTAATTCTGTATTTTCATTTACAGTCTGCAGCGCTGCTGTTGCTTGAGACTACATGTTTGTACTTAAGGGCCTTTGTGTCGGAGATGCAGCTTTCATTTTGAAATGGCGTAATAAAAACAAGCAAGACACACTTTGCCATTTTGTTTATTTTGTTCACTTTCACTCACTGAAGGAAATTAGAAATGGGCACTTTGAGTTCTGTGGAAGGTCTGACTGAGATTCATTGTGTTGACAAAAACCTTAGGGAAGAGCTGTACAGCATATGAAGTCCATAAAACATGTCCACTGTTGTGTTGAAGCTGCAGGAATTCCTCCTACAAGTATCTCAAGAAGGCCCTTGTTTAACATATGGTGAATAGTTGAACATAGTGTTTCTGCACGTGGGTTGAATCAGGTTACTTTGTGAGTGTCACTTTGAAACGCATCCCACTTTCTTGAGTTTTAATTAAATGCAGATCACTGGCAAAATGTTTTAGATTCAACATGAAAGTCCGATTTCCCTGAGGATTGGAAGCATGAATACTGTTTACCGGGGTCAATAGAGAAAGACTGTGTCACACTGATGAGAAATCACTTCACCAGTTGCCTGGAAGCTATAAAGACAGGTTTGCAGGCAATATTGCATAGAAAGAAGATGGCTTAGTATGCCTGCTAATTGAAGTATGTCCTCAGATGCACTGTGTATATATATCCAGTGAACCCTATTTGTATTTCACACTCACCTCATGTTAAACTAAAGGTCACAGCTGGATAAGGGAACAAGGACAAACCTATTGCATGATTTGTATTAATACTTATACAGCCCTGCTCCTTTAACAGCACAGATAAGCATTAACAGCATTAACAATATTCTGTTGAGTGAATAGGATTCTCCTCCTTTTTGTTTCCTTGATTTTGGAGAAAAATCAAGGACCCCATTATGAACTTGAAACATCAAATGCCAGTGTATTTTGAATTAATCTTTTCTCGTGTCAGTCTAGACATTTCTTATATTACTGTAAATGAAGCATCTGTGTTAACAAAATTGTGTAAAGTGGTGTCAGTGTTACAGTACCTTTTATTTTCTTCTGAATTACTATTATAAAACATGGCATATTCTTTGTCTACAAGTACACTTCATCTTGAATGAGAAAGCATTTTTACAAATCTGATTACAGATTACAGCTTATTAGTGCTGAATATTAAGAGTAACATTTTGCTTGAAATTCACTTTTCAGGTGAAAAAAGGATTGAAGATCTATTAGTTTAAAAGGAACTTTTATTGCTGTTTTTAAATTTACTGTCAACAGCATATTTTATGAGGCTGACTTGATATTCCTTGCATGCTATTGCAAGTGTAAAAACTTGTGAATGGGTTGTTTCACATTAGCCTCAGGGGGCCTTTTGGTTATTTCACAGTGAGTTTTCTTTGCTCAGGATGACAAATTTGGATCCTTCAAAAGAACATGGATTTTGCCTGGAGACCTGCCCTGGTCAATGGAAAAAAAAACATTTCCTTTAATGTCTTTTTTAAATACCATTTATTTGCTTTTCCTGTTGCTGTTTAGGAACTGACAGTTTTTTTTTGGTATCCTCTTTGTTTCTCCTTTTCCGAAAGCTACAAACTTGTTTGCCAGAGCACTCTGGGCAAAAAAGAAAAACTTCATTCAGCTGGTGAATCTGTGTTATCTGAAATACAAAACCTGCTAGGCCAGCTTCTTTTTTCCCTCTCTTTCCCTTGTTCTGCACAGTTTCTATTACTCATTATGGCAAACAGATATCAAATCCCTCTTTCGTTAAAAAAATAAAAAGAACAAACCTTTTAATTAAAGTCTGGTATATATTTGACCATTCCCAGAACGCCATTTCTCCCTTTTTCCAAGCCCTGTGATCTTTTTATTATTTAATTTCTGGGGTGTCCAAAGGAAAATAAAAAAGGTTGCTTGCTTCTTCTGTCGATATTAGACAAATGTAACGGAGCAGGTTTTAATTTTCTAAACCCAGGCAAGCCTCTGACCTCATGTATTTTTCATCAGCTTGCTTGCCTCACTCTCCCTTGCCCTCAGAATACTATTGATTGCATGATTAAGCCATCAAACCGCAGTAAACAGACTTAAATTTTTTAAGCTAAAACTTTTTTTTTTCTGTACCATCATTTTCCCACTGCTTTTAACGTTTTTCTTTTCTTTTCTCTGTGTTGGTTAAGTGCGAGGGCCATTATGCTGAGAGGCTGCAATAAATATAATATTGCTTTATAATTTTTCCTAGAGTACATTGATGGGGGCTCAATAGCATTGTGCACAAGGAAAGCCAAGGAGTAAAACCTCTTGCCCTCTGAACTACACAAATAAGAGATCTTAAGGTGAGAAGGGCCTATATGTTAAGTGTAATAAATTACCTTCAAATAGGTCTAATTCCTGTACTGTAGATAATTTAAAAAGTCTTTTTTTATTTAAAATTTCCCATGCAACCATTCATTTTATGTCTGTGTAAAGGCATGTAGCACACCAAGGAGGTGCACTAAACATGTGCTAACAGTCTTGTGTGCCTTTGCAACTAATGAGTACTGGGTTTTCATCTTGCTTTTATGCACATAAATACATTTTTTGTGAATTATCAAGCTCTGTCTTTTACAGGGCAGGCAACGAGAGAAATAAATTATTCACATTGTTTACTTTGCCCTTCTGTCTGTAAAGAAGTCCTTCCAAAGTGATTTTAAGACGGTCAAGCTATCAGCTTTGGCTCCATAGTACCCTGCACACAGGGACAGCTGCTTGATCTGCAGCTCAGGATTATGCCTATCTGTTTTTTGGAGATGTCTGTTTCTTCTGGACTTTTCACTACAGTCTCAGATCCACCTTTTAAAGTGAAACTAGATTTTCCTCAAGCGCTTGCACTGAATCCTGAAGCCAGCTAGCTCGCCTTTCATCTCAGTTTTGAAAACTGAGCGTTACAGTTTCCACCAGTGCGAATGATCTGCAATGCTCAGCTTGTTTTTGAAGTGAGTTTTGATCTTCATTGGAACTGAACTCTTTACTTAGATATCTGACTCAGTAGCTTCTGACTTTCCTCCTAAGTAAGCCATATTTGAATCTTACAGCATTTTCCCTTAGATCACTTCCTAGAGTCATGTACGCCTTGTATTAAACCACGTATCTGTGCAGTAGATGGCATGCCCCACTATAAGGGGGAAGCCATTGGAAGACTCCCAGGGCCATTTTACTGCAAGCAAACAAAGCTCAGCCAATTGTGCTGTTGTGTTTATCTTTACTGTAGGAATTTTGATCAAGATATTCCATTTATATATCTTTTTTTTAATGTATTGAGAACAACACTGTCTGGAGCACATGGCAGACAAAACCACTTTAAAGATGGTGGGCAAGAGATGTTCTCTCGAATGGATGATAAACAAATGGAAAACTTGTTTCCCTCTTCAAAATAATGCATTATTAAACAATGAGATATATTCTTTACCCTGTGCTTTCCACTGTTTAGAAAATGAGTATTTTTAATAACATAAGATAGCAAGTCCCTTTACTTAAGGAGTACAGTACTCGTCCAGTGCCCCTAATATCTAGAAAGCTCGTGATTTTGTAGAAAGGCATCTCTCTACATTTTCTCTTCCTCTGTCTTCTGAGATGATGTATCTTTTCTGTTAATAAGGCTTCTTATTTATCCTATGTCCCATGAATACTGGTCTCATGACATCACTCCAGTTACTGTTAAATATTGATGTTCTAAGATGGCCATCTTAATTATGTAACACAGAACAAGTTTAGCCTGGGTTAACAATAAGCACCACAATTTGTTCTGCTAGCCCTTTGGCCACTTTGAATATTTTCAAGTGGGCCAATCGGATGCTCAGATATTTTTAGATACAGATAATGAAATGCTTAAACAATGCCTAATGTGTCATGCTTTTAGAATGGGGTATCATAGTTCTGATTATTGTACACTGTGTAAATCTCTGTTCTGTAGGTAATGTAGGTAATCATGTACGTGCCCAACCATACAAGTGCTCTTTTACAAATTTTCAATACAAAGAAATTTGTATTTTAATACCTGTTTTTGTTGTATAAAATCATTTTCACTATCAATACAATACAAGCCAATTTCACTACAAAGTCATTTTCTTGAGATCTCACTGGGTGATTTGTATCATCCTGGAAAAACATGTTCCAGGTTTTTCATTTGTTATAAAAATAGAAAAGTATTTTCTCTTGGCTGATGTTCAGCAGTTTATAATTTGTTTTCTGTATTTTGTAAACTATCTTCTTAACTACTTTCCTAACTTAAATGGCCTCACAATCATAAATATGCATTAGTGTTCATATTTTGGTGATTCATTAGTTCCAATTAGTAACACTGGGTGATTTTCTAAACCTCAAGAAAACAAGTGTGAAATATTATTAATTTAATTTCTATTGTATTAAATTTCACCTTAAAAATTTTGAGGAACAAATTACCTTTGAAAATCAAGGGATGGATGTATATATATATAGATTGGTAACTCAGGGTCTTCTATTTGACACTCCTGCATTACATGATGGTAATTGCCCAGATAGAAATCAGCACTGAAATTTCAGGTGTATTTATAGTTCTACATTAATCTATATTTGGAAAACCCTTAAAATGTGTTGGTGCTTCCTTAATATGGCACTAACACTTTCATAGGGCGGTAAAGCTTGTCAATAGACTGCCTAAACTCATTTGTGAGTTCCAGTCCTGTCATTTAGTATTGATCATAGGTCTTTTTTACTGCAAATCCCTGCAAATACACAGTTTGAATGGAGTAAATGATTAGAAAATATAACTTAAAGTTAATTAGTGAAAATTAATTAATGGAAGATTCACTTGAAACTACTACTAATTATTATTCCTTACACTTATATAGCACTTTTCTGGACACTCCACTCACAGCGCTTTACAGGTAATGGGGTCTTCCCTCCACCACCACCAATGTGTAGTCCCCACCTGGATGATGCGACAGCAGCCATAGTGCACCAGTACTCTCAGCACCCATCAGCTATCAGTGGGGAGGAGAACAGGGTGATTCACAGATGGTAATTATTAGGAGGCCATGATTAGTAAAGGCCAATGGGAAATTTTGACCAGGACCAGGAGTTTCAACCCTGCTCTTTTTGAAAAACGCCCTAGAA